GATATTCGATAACGCTCATCCGGTGGTAAGATTTAGGATAAATTTTAACAACAACAACTTCTTTGCCTTTGTTAATATAGGAAAATGCCAAATGAATGGCGGTCGCGTTGAAACAAATGTATTCCATAAACGCACGTGAATATAGGGGCACTGAATTTTTGAGTCTTATCCCACTGTTTATCCTACATTGTGAAAAACACAGTCAGTCGACATTTCAAATTGCAAGGGACGAAATAAGATAGTATTTAAACAATGATGGCCATATACAACCCCTTTATATTTTTTTTATTTTACTTCCTTTTATTGAATACATAATGATACAATTTTTGGGAAGCAGGAAGCGACCAATCAAAGGGCTGTCATGGGAAAGTCAGGCGGTGGTGGTGGGGTTCGAACACATCCCTCGAGGCGGTAATTTGGTGACGTTACCACCGGGCCACCACCACCGAACAACATCGAAGACAAATGTGACCAGGCTAAAGTTCAAATGGGGAACAAGTAGAAGAAGTTCTACCCTTCAGTTGAGACAAATGCTTTTTCGTTTGATGATATCCCAGTATCAATCCAGGATATCCCGGTACGCATCACTTTAAGATTTTCCACAACGACGTGGACAGTAGTGCGGCGTGCCATGACGAGTCTTTGAATCGATGGGCTTGTCCTGGTGAAGTAATGCGAATAGTACGTTCCACCAACGATTACAGACACGTATTTGTTAAGCCGGATTGGGCATTGAGCTCAGCGACATGTTTCAATCTGCTGAAGGGCGGCCGACTATATAGGTGGAAAGGACCGAGCGGATCTCAACACCGTCTTATATGTCCAATGTATCGTTTTCTATGATGAATGTTAATTGTATAGACAAAAAACAGTTCAGTCGGAAATCCTTCATCACCGTCGCTGAAGCACAGAAAAAGAAAGTGATCTGTTCTAATCTTCCGAAACCTTGGTTGGCAAATTAAGGTAGCAAATCTTCGAAGAAAATGGTACTTTGGGCTATCCCTCGCAACTGTCATTTGGGGTTTTATATCATATTTCTAGGCATGTAGCCATGTGCTCAACAAGCTGAATGACAATTTTGTAATCCAAGGAGGAGGACGGCTTGTTGTTCGAATCCCGACAGGGACATAAAACTAACATTGACTAGTTCTAACAAATACACAGTGTTCCTTGTAGACCCGTGCACAGAATTCAACCACAGGTGAACTTTGTTAAACATATGGAAAATAGACGAACTCTCCAACAGGGTGATTCATATCAGAAGAAAAGAAGGATGCACAGACCCTGGTTTTTAACAGCAGTTCGCTCAGACCAAACGAGAATATTTAATAGTTTATTTTGTTTGCTCTCTTACTCTTTCCTCGGTCTTAATTACGCTCTATTGCTCTGCTTAAACTGCCACACTATACAGACCATAAGTTCTTGGCCACCATTCAACAATAACCACAAGGATGTTGCAACTCACATTCCTCCCTCATGAACTCTGTGGGCCACAACAATTGGGCAGATTCATCGCATCCCGAATTAATGTGGATTTGCATCTTGGTCAAGCTGGACAGTTCTTTCACTTTGTCATTCTCATAACCCAAATCAGTGCTCACTTGATCCAGTCGTTCCGCGAACCGATTCAGCGCATCCTGGAGCAGATCACATCGGGAATAGTTGTGCACATATTCCAGCCGGTCATCGAGCAAATAATAGATCCCCGCGCGGGTAATGTGTTCGGTTGATTTGGGTACGAGAGCAACAGAGGCGACACATAGCAAACAGAACCACAAAGCTCGTCCAATGTTACAAACAATCATGGAACAGATCGAACGACTTGAATGACTATTACGACTACTACGCGTCGTGGGTACGAAGTCACATTTATAGTTGTGCCTCTCGCTTGCGTCCGTTGATATTTATGATCGGGTCAGTGGTAACTGATGATCGTATTTACTGTCATGATCCAATCCATTCAAGCAAGCGGTTTGCGGTGACCACACCATGTTCCACACAAACCTTCCGATCACATGGTCTATGTGGGTATGTGATCGCTCAGACATTGATTTGGTTTATCAAGCTTACGATCTGTGCAGACTAGTAATTGGCAATTACCTGTCGTTTTGACATCAAAGGGATGTGTATGCGCGTGTGTATAAACACACGCCTGGTGTTCGTCAGTTTGGCACAAATCTGTCCTGATTGGTTCATTAAGGTCATCAAGTGGTCGGGTTTGATCCGTTTGCGGATCCTCGTAATAGTGGATTGATTGGTTGGTGGCCATGGGATGATTCTGTCAGGGAGTTTATTTGCTCGCAGTGAATGTGATTCAGTGATTAATCAGTACATCGAATACATTTCTCCACCGGAACTTACAATTGTGTCCAGACAGTGTGATTAACAAAAATGACTAGGGGATTTTGTATTTCATAGTAATGTGTTTTGGCATCTGGAACTAACCGGAGAGAAAGAGACAAATGCTTTACGTAAGCTGAGTGCAGCACCTTTTGTCTTGCCTTCGAGACATCCATTGGCTTCCTCACAAAACATCCTACCGATGCAGAATAGAGAACGGTCATTCATCGGGTAGTATACATCTTTTAACCATTCGCTGTTGAACGACGAAAAATTACTTTTTGTGATATACTTTTCACACTGAAGCCAATCATCGTACTTTCTTGTCCATATCACGTTCCAGTAGGCCACTAGACATAGAGCAAAAGAGAAGTGAACTGAAAATCTAGAAATCAGTATGGAATCGTCTCATGGTAATTTAGAATGATTCAAAGATTTTAATTCAAACAAGAGTAATTAAATTTAGTTCATGTGGAGTTGGGTCTTTTGATCGTATTGTGTATTTAACTTATTTACCCAGAAGTCCACATGGAACTCACAGTCGCATCTGAGCAATACTTGTGCTTTGAAATAGAGAGGAAAATGCCACTTGTGGTTAATCCAGTCGAGGGTAATCGATGCGATGATAAAATCACAGTGATCTGGAGAAACAAGTGTTCAGCGTCTGGCCTACTGTCGCTTCTTGCGTCTAATCTAACCGGGACCCACTGTCACAGGCACCGATTTGTGTCTGCGTGGTTGATGACCTGAATATGTTTACCTGTGTAAGAATAAAGTTGAGTGGGTCAAATGGACTACTTCAGGTGGTGTTTTGTATCACGCAAGTCATGAATGTGTTTGCATGTGTTTGTACCAAAATAGCTCCCCATATGGCGATTTCACGTGGATGTCTCCGAGCTCACAGAAAGGTTAGCAGAGGCCACAACTTCAAGATAATTATCAGATCAGTTGTGGCTTAGATAAGATGGCTTTTTACAAGGGTAACTTTTCTCAAGCTACAGGCAACCACCATGCCTGTGAGAGCTAAAGGAGCAAGGGTTACAACGGTTGCACTCGCGAGACATGTGAGAATGAGTATGAAAACCTGACTCATCTACTCCTACTCCAGAAGAAATGATTGCTTTTTCATCGAACCGAAAAGCACGTTCTGATCAGCGCCTAAAGCTTGTGATGTAAGTGAAGATACTCGATGATCAAATATAATTTGAATGATAGATATCAACTTAACCGAACCGGCTGCCAACTCAAAAGGGATTACGTTCCGTGGATCAGATCGCAATGGGGGAAATCTTCTCCAACTAATCCCTTTTTATTGAAAATATTGCAGAACTAAGATGAAAACCATTTATGTTAGGAATGTTGGCTATAGATAAATTGGTAATCAATTATACAAATATTCTGAGCAGCAAGGGTATGATTTATGTGACCTGCCTCTTGAGAGTTGGTTGATTAAATCGAAATGTGTTTATTGTATGTCAAACAAAAGTCGTTCGACCACATAATTGACATAAATGAGATGCTCCGCGACTGAGTTGAAGAAGAAAAAATTGAAGTGACAGAAATTGGTAGTAATCATCATTGAAAGACTACGACCTTCATACAAAGGCATTTGAATTCAGAAGCGACCGGAGATAGTGTTAGACGATTGTGAAATGTGATCCAAGCAAGAAATCGTACATTTTCACATACTTCCCAAACTATGCTGTTTGAAGAGAAAAAATATCATCCAACCCATTTGATCAACAGTCATGCACTGCTGACGTTGCTTTCGAATGGGTTATCATTAGAATCTTACACACCAACAGGATTGTTACTTATCCCTTCAATTTTTTCGTCTCTCTGTTAAACAAAAACACAACGGGAGTGTGAAAGACACGGAGACGTTAGGCTCAAAAAGTGATAACGACGAAATAGAGATGGTGAAATGGTTACGATGAGGAACATGATTCAGACTGCATACGAATTTACGAAAATTCGCACATGACCTGAATTCAAACCCGAGGGCAGAAGAAAAGTTAGCTGAGTGTTCGCAGATAACAATACGGTGAGCAGTTCACAGTGGATTCCTTTCTGATGAAGTAATTTGCCACCCAGTGTTTGTTTCATGTCATCTTTCATACGCGACATACACCAATAATCTCACAGGAGACATTCAGAAGGATGATGAGTACTGAAAATTTTCCTTGTATGTAAACCATGCTTTTACTATTTTCTAACCATCGTTCTGAAAAGCGAACACCCCTCCCCTGCCCAAGAGTAAACAAAATATGTCGGTCTCAACGATGTTCACTCCAGGGCAGAGGGGGGGGGAGCTACCTTGATATCCTATAATTTTTCTCGCTAAAATGATGCAGGCGAGTCCTGCTCAGACCAATCGAATAAAATGAATGGTGTCGCTGCTGCTGCTGCTGATAATAATGATGACGGTGGTGGTGGTGGTGGTGGTGGTGGTGGTGGTGGTGG